ACATGGTGCACACGTCGCCTAACAACGAGATTGTTTATTTCTCGAGTTACAGCTCTGGATTGCACTCGCAGATGCGGAGCGGCGTAAATGAGACACTTTACCGCTTGCTATATTGTAGCGCACGGCACCGCAACCGTGAAGTTTAGTCTTAGCGCAAGTGGTTAAACTCTAAAGGAAAAGGAAATATTTTTTGGCGCAAGTAAATTAATTCATGGGTTAGGAATTTTCAGGGGGGGGGAAACTACCAACATCCATTTTTAAAATTATTGCGAAAAATGTAAGAAGAAACGTCCTTTGATAAAACCTTTCTTCTTGGATTTTTCGCAATAATTTAAAAACGGATTTTCGTAGCTTTCTTTTTGTCAAAGAACGTTTCTTCTTAACACGTTTCTCAATTCCGGTACACATCGCGGAGAGGGAAATTCTGGCCGCCAGGTTCCGTCGCCACATCCCTTGGCATATTTTCCCTCCGCATTCTAGCGGCGTAATAGCATTTTACTTGTAACCTTTTCTTCTTTACATAGACCAAAGAATTAGAGATTCTTTGCATAGACGTTTCTTTGGTTAGAATAATCTCCATGTATGGTACAATGGGATTTGGCGACATGATGATGCGCAGTAAACGGGTCATTTTGGTCTTGGCGACAATTTTCAAAATCGTAAAATAAAAAAATAGTAATCTGTCATCAGGCTAACCATGTAATATAACTATTCGCTAAAATATCGTTGATTATTCTAATTCAATTTTTAAGTAATTCTTTATTTTTATGTTATTCGTATAATTTAATGATGCTTTCTTCCTCTAAATTATTTATTATTAGTAAATAATATTTCCAAATTTCAGGAAATTTTCTCTGGCATAATCTTGAATTAATTCTATAGCAGTATGATGACATACCATCACGAAATTTATGCACTATTTTTTCCTTATGTATGCTGCGAAATAAATATAAAATACCTCAGTTTATTAAAATAGATTTCTTTCTTTCGTTTAGCTGCAGAATGTCTGCAAAAAAACCTTATTTATTCCAGATTGGGAAGATTATCTCAAGCTTCAGTGGAGAAAACACAACTATTATATTTGTGTTTTCAAGTGTTAAGGTGTCTTTTAAAAACATACCTCACACAAATTAAATTTACCTAAAATCTAACCTAACTATTTAGCATTGCATTGTGATTTATAAGGACCGGACTAACCTCATCTTGAACTGGTGATGATCATGAGTAATAATTAAATAAAACATACATTTGTTATCCAATTTATATATCTTAAATTTTATTAAGTTTCTTAAGTGGAAAAGTAAACAAAATTATCAAACAAAGTATACCAAGAATAATTAAGAATAATGTCCTCTGGGATTTATTGAATAATTAAGTGAATTTGCTACACAATACAAGTAATACCATAATTAATTTACCTCTTAGCGTAGCCAAAGTACATTACGCGAATAGACTGGAATTTTCTTGAAACACACCTGGAAAAACCTGGAAAAGTCAGGGAATTTCATTCTCCTGTTTGAGTGGCAACCCTGTTAATTTTATTATATGAAAAAAATTACTTTGAAAAGGGGAGCAGGATTTGAAACACATATTTGAAGCACTGCATATTCAAGTTATATACAAGAGTACTACTATATGTAATGCGTATATGTAAAGTACATCTCAAAATGGTAACAGCCATTCTTGTAATCTTGAGACATACTTGACATCATAATGTCTCAATAATAAACTTGAATATGGTATTAAGTTGAGCATTCTACTGAAATAAGTATGAAATCAAGGTAAATTTTGGAAGTTTTTACAGTATCTCATAAAAATATTTTGATTAAATTTTGTGCAATTTAAACATTATATTTTTATTTATTTATTTACTAACCTTTCATTTATTATTATTTTATTTTATCTTTTATCTTATTTGAGATTTGCTTTTTATGTTGGTACAATTAAACTTTCTTATTTGTAAAACAGTTTATTGGGTGAAAACGCATATAAAGCATTTCTTAGTATTCAATATAAATGCTGCTAACATCTAAATCTTTGGAACTGAATTACTTCATTGTCAATTTTAGTAAAATGTTTTTCAGCATAATAAATATTGCCATTTATTAGTAGAGGGTTATTTATTATACTTTCTATATATATTCAACATTTTTAGCTTTAAACAATTCTGTTAACAAAACCTCTTGATAATTATTTTTAAGTCAGTGCCAGATAAATATAATCTTTTAAATGTGTAATTTGTATTGTTTTTTAAATGTGTTAAATTATTATAACAAACAGATAACTTAATTAGCTACAGAAACTAAGATAATAAATGAAAAATACAAACTTTCTGAAATATTCTGAGATGTCTAATTTAGAATTCGAAAAGGTATTAAAGTTAGTTTGCTCCTTTGCTCAGTTTCTCCATCATTAAATGAACATAACTGATATTTCATGACATAATGTTGTCCACTCTTAAAAATGTGACTTGTAGTTTTATTATAATAATGATTATTTTTTATGTATATAAATGTAGTCTCTGAGCATCAGTGTGAAATCTCTAAAACTTTATCACTTCTCGAGGGCTAGAAACCTGTATTATATTTGCCTTCCTAGTAATTGGATATAGCCACTAAGTTTTGAACATTGTATCTCGTGGCATGTTTACTTTTTGTACAAAATTTTACCTTCATTGAATTCTATTGTTTGACTTCTTTATGCCTCTTTATTTTTGTGGTATTCTTTTTCTGCTTTGTCAGCATCCTTTTGCATACCTTGTTTTAACTGATTCAATTTATTCCTTACATTTCCCCCATGTTGTGTTTTCCATCTTCATCATTTGTGTCTTTGTTATCAGTGTTCATACTTTCTTTTGCCTTTGTCATCATCATTTGTTATCTTTATTGGCACCATAAAAAGATTATTTTCATCTTTCTTTGTCATTTTTTGCTTAATGGCTCAGATTCGTATTCCCTGTCATTTCTTTAAATGCTTTTATAGAAGTATTATACCACCAGAAAGCTTTTTAGCATCTGAATTTTTCATTAATGATAAATTAACCAGTCTTTAGATTTAATTTTTGTACACTGTCATCATGCTTATATCTCTCTTCTTCTTTCTTTATTTATTTTTTTAATATCTAGTTTGCTATCAACATTATATAAAATTCATTACCATTTATTGCTGTTAATTTTTTTCTCATGGTTTCTTTAAAAAAATTCAAGTTTCTCATTCTAGGAAAGTTGCTGAGTGCAACTATGATCATCTGTCAATTTAATGAAATGTCAAATGATGCCTATTGACTTGCGTATTAATTCAAGTTGATAATAAACCATTATATATATATTCAGTTGCCCTAATCCATTTATGTCTATTTTTTTGACAAATACAGGCACCACAAATTTGTTTATAACATTTTTGAACTGATATACCTTTGAGTATCAAATATAGCTTATAACTTTACAGTACCTTTTTTGCTGAAGCTCTTTTAAGTACTGAATCCTGTGTGTTGTGTAGCTAAATGCAATAGATTATAGTCTTTTAAATATGTGAATTTATTAGCCTTGGCCTGTAACAAGCTGTGGAGCTTATGAAGAAGAAGAAGAACTGAAAGTGAACAATAATGATCTTTAAGAATTCACCTATTTAATTCACCTATGCAATCTTGACAAATTTAGAGATGTTTAATTGTGTGAGTTGCCTCCTGTCATATTAATGTGAATGAATTCCCTGGAAACAAAAAATTTAGGAATAGAATGTGATCAGTTTTTGGCTCATAGAAGCTGTCATCCGAACAGGATGGTTCATGGATTAATGTTTTATATATATATATATATATAACAGGAAGATATAAATATGAGAACAGCCCATCATATGACTATAGCAATGAATGAAATTGTACTAAAACTGTACATTGGGAATAATTTCATATGATAAGTTTTAAAAAAGTGCTTACAGAGTAGGCACAATCTTGTTTACAAAGAAACTGCTGCCAATCTTTCTATGGCATATGATAGAATTTAGTACACATTGAAACACAAGATTTCATCAATAATGCTACTATACTTATTTCCAGAAAATAAATTGGAAACGTATGTTAGACTGATTTTCATCATAGTTTTTGTGTTTTTTTAAATTCCTTTAAACCTAATTGCCTATTAAGAAAATACATGGGAAGAAGGAAATGTATAACCATCTAAACAATGGCAAACGAAGGTACATAATGGTTTGTTGTTTCCAAATTTGAATGGTATTTGGCCAAAACTTTCAAGATACTGAGTTGAAAGGGACTACAAGTTACCATTGAAGGATAAAATATCAAATATTCTTATGTATTACCTTGTATTATTGTTGTTTACCTCTATATTTCATTCAGATCAGATCCACAAATGCATTTGTTCCTATTATAAGTATGCTAAATTAGCTGCTAAACAGTTTCTGTTCTTGTTTAAGAAAACCATAAAACTATTTGTGTTACCGCAGTTCAGCTTTTTGGGAAGGCTGTTCAAGGATAAAATAATAGTGCTTGCTTAATTCATAGAACAGGTTTATATACTTGAACTATCTGGGCTATAAATATTTTTCATGTGTATGGCAAAAATACAGATTTTGAATTATAAGATAGTGTAAATTACATAAGTAAATCTGATATGTAATTCTTGAATAGAATTAACTGTGTCTGAATCAAAGAATAAATCCATTTTATCTGAACTAATAATCTTCTGTTTCTTTGAAAGTAAGTATTTATTAAATTTATATTCTAACTGAAAAACGATCTGCTTCTTATTTAAAATATGCATGAGGATGTAAGTTATGGATATGCTATTTCGTTACCAAATTTTTCTGTTTTCTAAAATTTAAATTTAAAGCAGAAAATATTGCATTTTTTATGTAGCATGTACTTTAATGGTATGTATATTATAATTTTTTTTTCTTTCTGCACACACATGGAGTATATTGTTTTATTAGAAACTAAATTATATTTTGTCAAATATCTTATATATTTTTCTTTTCCAAAGGTTTATATATGAAACAGAGCATTTTAATGGCATTGGTGAGCTCCTAGAAATATTGGGCAGGTATATAAAAATTTCCAAATATATTATCATTAAATATTTTATTTTTAATGCAAGAGTCATTCTCAACTCCAGCAGATGATAAATTTATATTAATATACAACAGATATATTGTGTCTAAAAGTTGATGCATTTGACTTTTATAAAATTAATTCCTGTACGAAAAGGTAAAGAAATCAAATAAATGAATCAAACTGTTATTATTTATTTAAACTGTTATATTTTTATTACTTTATCAAACTGTTATATTTTTGAATCAAACTGTTATATTTCAGTATCATCAATGGTTTTGCATTGCCATTAAAAGCCGAACACAAACAGTTTCTGGTCAAAGTCCTCATTCCACTTCATACCCCAAAGTCTCTAGGGCTTTACCATGCACAGGTATAAATTATGTTTAATAAATAAATATTGTTAATAAATTTTTTAATTTGAGATTTTTATTTCAAAACAGATTTTGAAAGCCAGTGTTCTTTTTGACTTTGGGGACATATTACTTTGGTGTATATTTTAATTATGGCTGTTTAATATAAAACATGTAACTTTTATGAAAAGTTACATATATGAGTTAAGACATAAAAAAGTGAATGTTGTGGCTAATTTTAATTACAGTTATATGATGCTATCTTTTTCTCTAACCCATTACTTACTGGTGTAGAAATATTTGGAAAAAATACAGTGTAACTTATTATTATATATTTTTTTGCACCTTATTAAGGTTTTATAAAAATTTCATCCATTTAAAATCTTGATTGCTTCATTTGTGCAGTTTTAGAAAAAATCACTTAATAATTTATTTATTTATTTTTTAAAGCAAGTGCAAAGATTTATAAGAAAAAAAAAATGGTTGAAAACAAATTTGTTTGATTATCCCAAATTCTATAATGTAATATAACGTCTTATCGTCAGCATCAGAAAATATCAGATACACACATATGTAATGTCTAATGAACAGATATATAGATCCAGCATATATTTTCATATATAAATCTTTATATATGCAGAATTGGGCCATTACTGATGTAATTGATTGCTATAACCAGAGTTTTGTTTATCTATTAAATTTATTGTATTCTGAAAGTAAATAATGCATGAATTAGTATGGAACACTGATTCTAAAGAGTTACAATATTAAAATTAATTATATAATTCTCTCTTAATTCGTATTTATATAATATGTACACAATTCATGAACAACCTTAATAACTGTCACTAATCTCATTCCCAGTGATGGCGAACCTATGGCACGGGTGCCACAGTCGGTATGCAGAGCCTCATCAGCCGGCATGCAACTAAAATATCACTTCATTAATCAATAACTGCAATAAAATGATACTGTGTAATTTAAATTTATCACATAATGCCACTGGCATAGGGCCTAAGCCTAAATATAAGATTTTCATATATTGCCATAGAAATGATACACGTATTTATTGACCCAATTTCTGATGTTTCAATTGTTTGGGCCAATCATATTACTTGTTACATGGCAAAGAATATGCCAAAGTTGAAGCGGCTAATGTTTGCTAAACAAATTCCAATTTATTGCAAACCGCCGGTGAGTTTTAATACTTTCATTGTTAGATTCTAGTTTTCAGATCTAAGCATTTTGAGGTAATTTATGAATAATTCTAATTTAATATGCAGCCATTGGTCACATGGCCCCAAAAATGTTCGACACCAATGCCTTAGGCACTCTTGAGTTCTTTGCCATATTGAAATAAATTTAAAGAAAAACTTTTTGGACATTTATTCTCTTTAGTTTTCAGAATTGCCAGTGTCGAGATCAAAGTGAACAACTTTGTGGCCATCACCTTTCTATTCTCTGTCATAATAACAAACAAGTTTAAAATGTTAAAAAGAAAATGCTGAGCGAACAATACAAATCTAATATTATACCAATACAGCACAAAATTTGACAACAAATGTCTCTTTCGCCAGTCTGAGCGATAAATGATTTCTCTTTGGCATGTAAGTCTGTTTAGCAAGTGAATATGGTAACCTTGCTGCACAGATTTCCAAAATCTGTGCAGCAATGGAAATCTGAGAAATGTTTCGTTGGATTCACTGTCATGTTTAGATATAGCACCACAATATGAGGCTTGTTAGAGGATTTCTCTTGATGAAAAATTCTGTGATAACTAAAATAATTGCAAGATTTTTCTATTTCATGATTTAAATCCATGTATTCTGTGATAAAATCTTTAAATCTTTAATAATTTTGGTTTTCACATTTGAATCCCTTTCTGGACGATTATACATTTTTCTCAGAAAAGTCTTTTCTCCTAATTCTATGCTTTCTGTACAGGTAATTGTATTACATATCCCCCTCCATTTTTCTTAGCAATGAGTATACTTGAAATATTCTTCATGATACTTTTGTTTTTCATTTCAAACATGCATGGTCTTTTCAATGCATCTGTTTTGGCTAATTGTAGACTGTATTCACCAAGTTTGTGTACCATTTGGCCTAAAATTTTGTATTTCTTGAGAAAATCTTGATACAAGAACAATAATTTTGGTCCTTCAAATGCTCCATAACAAATTTGATCTCTTTGATGCGGTTTCTTTAGAATTTTCTAGAAGTAAATGTCCTTTATTCTTTATAGGCATCTGAACAGCATACCTTTCATTCTCATCTCTAGAATGTGTTCTTAAGAAATGATTCTCGCATATAATTCTTCCTGAACCATAACAGATTTAACATGTATCTTTTTAATTTCCCCAAAATTGCTTATGCTACGATTAAAATTTTCAGTTCTTGGATTAACCTACAATACACCAAGTCTTCTTATTTTGAACTGATATCAATTTTTCCACTGATAATATTAAAGCCTAATATTGAATTTTGAAGTATAAAAGGGGAGTGTTTTGGTGTAATTTTTTGCATTTTCATAAATCAAAAAAAGATTTCATTACCTGTTCACAGATCAGTCTTCCGTAGTATGTAAAATTGAGGATCAGCAGGTTGTGCAAAATTAAAATTTTCTTAGGTTCAAATATCCAATTTCTGGGTTGGTGTAATATTAGTTATTTTAGGCGCTATTAAAAATTCTAAGTTGTTTTTATAATATTCTTCGTATTACTTTAGGATAGTGGCATAAGTTTTTGCTTCATATGGAAAGCTGTATCATTCAAACAGAAAACTGAAATATTAAATTTCTCATGATTTAAACGAAGCTGGTTAAACATTCCACAGGTGATAAAGCTACACATTAAAGCAGTATGAGTGAGTGTTGTGCAAGGACAAAGTTTGCCATCTCTAGCCCTAATGTTAATTGCAGCTGCTACCAGTAGAAGGATTTTGAAATTCTTTCATGCATATGAGGCTGTTAGGGGAGGACATCTGAGAAGCTACTTCTGGTCAAGGGTGATCTGCGGCAGTGGGAATCCTTCTGAATTTCTTTATACGTTTTAATGACAGGTTTTTTTCTACTGAGGAAAGTGCAGTAAGCTGTGATGACATGAATTGCATAAACTGCGCAAATTATCTTATTTACGTTTTGTCACTTTATACGATGGATGGCTTAAGGGAATTAATATAAAGATCAAATTTTGGGGTCTCAAAATGCTTATTCACTGTTTAATTTTTAAATTCATCACACTTATAAATTTGTTGCATCGATTTACATAATTTACAGTTTCTTCACTGACATGCTTAGTCCGAAATTCATTTTGAATAATCTAGAAATCCCTTTGCTGTGATACTTGGAGTGAAAGGCTTGGAATTTGAATTGGTAATTTTATTTGTGTTTTCGAGCACCTGACATCTTTTCTCCGAAACAGCAATGAAATCTGTCCAGTTAGAAGACTGAGTAGTGTTTGAACTCATTTAAAATAATTTATGAGTTTCTTTATTTAATTTATTTAGAATAAATTTTATTAGTATTGAGATCCAAAAATGTGTGCCTTTCAGTCCTGCAATGCTTAAGAGCTCCAATATTTTAAGAAATATTATCCACTAACTTTCTGAGATTGACCACGGTATCAGCCGTTAATATGTCTGTCAACAGTTAATTGTTTAATTTCGAAGTGATTATCTGATGCTTTATATCAGCGTTTCCCAACCTTTTTTGGCCAAGGCACACTTGTCGCGGGGAAAAAAATCACGAGGCACACCACCATTAGAAAATGTTAAAAAATTAACTCTGTGCCTATATTGACTATAATAAAGTAATTCTCTTGAATAGGAATCAAATAAGCACAAAGAAAGTATTTTATAATTACTTTATTATGAAATGTTAAGTAAACAGAATAGTGAAAATTATAAAATACTTTCAGTTGCGAAACCTGGGCCTGTTTGGCTGAACACAAAGCTGATATTCTGGCTGGAATCGAAGAAAGACACACACGTAGCTCTTCGTCAACAGTTCTCAGTCTCTCTCTGTATTTGGTTTTCATAGCAATCATGCTTGAAAAGCTAATCTCACACAGATATGTAGTGGAAAAAGGGAGCAATGTCAAAATAGCTTTGTTTGCCAGAAGGGGGAACTCCTTGGCAGTATCCAACCAAAAACTGTCCAAAGGTAGATCAGCAAATCTTAGCTTGCAACCACGATTTTGTCTCAGTTCAATTAGTTCCTCCTGCTCCTGTAAAGTCATTTCCTTTCCAACAACTGATGCTGAGCTGTAAGGGTCCCTAACCCAGTCAAGGCATTCAGTGGAGACTGAAGAGAAATAAAATGACAACTTCTCCTCAAGAGTTTTTAAATGCTTAACTATTATCTCACACAGTGCAGCAGTGTAAACACCTTGCCATTGCATGGTGAGTGTGAACATTTCAAGATTGCCACTTTCCACGTGTTGATGCCAGAGTTGCACCTTTGAACGGAATCCATTTATTTTATCTGTACTTGTAAGCAGGTTTTCATTTCGGCCTTGCATTCGGGTGTTTCAATTCATTCAGATGATGAAATATATCTGCCAGGTATGCCAGCCTTGCACACCACTCATCACTTGCAAGCTGCTTTGCGTAATCTGACCCCTCATTTGTCAGAAACACTTAAGTTCCTCCTCCCGCAGCTCATACACACGAACTAAACCTTGCCACGCGACAACCACCGGACCTCCGTATGAAACAGCAAGGTTTTATGCTTTGCTCCCATCTCCTCACACAAAGCTGCAAATATGCGACTTTTCATGGGTCGTGACTTTACAATGTTTACCATGCACACAACATCATCCAACACATGAACTAAGGCTGATGGTAAAGTCTTGGCTACGAGGGCCTCGCGGTGTAAAAAACAATGCGTAATAATCACATCTGGATTTCTTTCCTTCACTCTGCTTACAAAGCCTTTGGTGCGCCCGACCATGGCTGCAGCTCCATCGGTGCAGACACTTGTGCAGTTTTCCCACTTAAGTCCTCTTTGTTCAAGGTATTC